TCATTATCGGGTACTCGAGGATTGTTGCACCATTGACGAGATTATAATCGCCAAAGGTGCCATTCGTTTCGACGACGAAGCACGCCGGTCGTTCCAAGCACTCAAGACAGCCATGTTGATGGCACCCGTCCTTAGCATCTGCGACCCCACCTTGCCAACGAGAGTGACAACCAACGCTTCCGACTATGGCATTGGGGCAGTCTTGGGACAACATGACGATGACGACTGGGACCCCGTGGAGTGTTTCAGCCACATGGTGCCTCTCATCAACTCGCTTGATGACACAAGGAAGGAGGAGCTACTCATGTTCGTGATGGCTCTCAAGCGATGGCGGCACTTCCTCCTTGGGCGTCGTAGGTTCACATGGGTCACCGACAACAACCCGTTGACCTACTACAAGACGCAAGACATGGTGAGCAGCACTATCGGACGATGGATGTACTTCATCGACCAATTCAACTTCACACCGAAACATCTTGCTGGCCTCTCCAATCGCGCAGCCGATGCACTCTCACGAAGACCCAATCTTTGCGCCATGACACATCATCCCTTCGCATTCAACGAGGAACTGCAGCGGCATTTCATCTGGGGCTATCAGTCTGATCCGGATTACGCCACGCTATATGTGCAACTATCATCGGATCACCCGCCGGCCAGCCATTATCGCATCGTCGACGGCTACTTGCTTCTCCACTCACAAGGCAAGGACTTACTATACATCCCACAAGATCGTCGCCTCCGAACTCGCCTTCTCGGCGAGTACCACGACTCGCAACTCGCCGGACACTTTATAATGAAGAAATTCTAGTAGCTTTTAGTTTTGTGGGTTTTGTTTTATTTAGTCAAAAAAACTTTTGGTGAAACTTTAAAGGCTCCTTTTGAAGCAAGAAGCGAATCTATTGTTTCAGAAGTACAACAACTCGTGAGTTCTCAAGAGTCTGTTGTCAAAGTTCTTGAAGGTATTATAGTACCATTAAAGAAAGGAGCACCAGTGGAAACTTCTCTTTGAGCTAATAGATGAAAAAGCACAGGTGCCGCTGTACCACAGAGAACAACGGAGTCAACCAAAACAATCGCAAGACTTCGGCAACGATTTCGGTGTCCCGACCTCATTACCGATGCCACTCAGTATTGCGGTTCTTGCGAAGTTTGCCGATGAAGCAAGCCCCGCAATCGCAATCCCTACGGCGAGTTGGGCCTGTTGCCCATCCCACGGGAACCCGGCCTTTCCATTGCTATGGACGCCACCGGTCCGTTTCCCCGCGACCGCCTCGAGTACGACGGTATCCTCACGGTCATTGACCGATTGAGTAAATATGCGCGATTTCTTCTTTGCAAGTACTACACCATGGTTCCCGAGCTTGCGCGCCTCTTGTATACCGGCTGGATTTGCAGCCATGACGTTCCGGAAGACATCGTTAGCGATCGCGGCACTTGCTTCGTGTCGACGTTTTGGACTTCTCTTGCGGGAATCCGGCACCAAAATGAAACCGAGTTCGGCTCGGCATCCACAAACGGACGGGCAAAGGAGCGAGCACATCAAACCGCTCAAATGATGCTTCGTACGCTCATCTGTCCGAACCAAAAGGATTGGGTTGACCGCCTCCCCGCCATCGAGTTTGCCTACAACACTTCGTTGCATCCATGATCGGAGTGACTCCCTTCGAGTTGCACCTCGGTGGCCGGAAAGGCCGTATCTTCGCTCATCTCCTACTCCCACGGACTGCCGACATTGACGCCCCTTGCTCTCCCGCCTCCGTTCGGAAGTATCGGGACTTGCTGGCTAAAGCGTGGATAAACATGCAAAAGGCTCAAGTTCGCATGCAGCAGCAAGACAATCGGCATCGCGTACCATGACCTATCCACGTCGGCGATCTGGTTTGGGTCTCCGCGGAAGAGTTTGCGGTCAAGGAAGAATCTCACTCAAGCTACTCCCCAAGTGGTTTGGACCTTGGACTGTAACATCAGCCGCGGGCGATGAGCCTGATGGCCCCTCGTTTGTGGTCGAGATTCCGCCACATCTACCGGTCCACCCGGTTTTCCATGCCTCCAAGCTGGGTACATATACACTGGCTAAGATTGACGATTTCCCGGGCCGACAATCGCAAGACCCTCCGTCTATGGATGATCATCAGGAAGTTGACCGCGTCACCATGGATCGACAACAAGCCCCGACAGTACAAAGTTACCTTCAAAGCATGCGTTTGTGACGACACCCGGTGGATATCATGCGCAGACTTGCAAGCTTCCGCACCACTGATCTACACTCACTACAAACGACAAAGACTAGCTAAGGAAGCTTCACGACCTGCCCCTCCCACCTGGACTTCGGTCCCTCCCTCTGACAGACAGCTCCGCCCTCGCAGGCAAGCTCGGTCTTTCAAGGAGGGGGGGGGGGGGTGTGGCATACTGAGCACCACACGGGCCCCCGAAGGGCCCGACCGGGCAGGACAGGAGTTAGGTAGGGGCCTTTCAGGCCCTGTGTCGGTTCAGCTTAGGTAGAGGCCCGTCAGGCCTGTGTCGTTTCAGCCTAGGTAGGCCCCGTAGGTCGGTAGGCCATAGGTAGGCCCTGGCGCCATTTTGGTGCCAGACCCGGTATAGGCCCAGTAGGCCCTACATCAAATTCGAAGATTCGAATTTGGGCACCAACTTAGGCTTCAGACTTTTGGGCGCTAGGGACTGGCGCCGTTCAGCATTGGTGAGAGCAGCCTCCTTGCCGGATGTTACATGCTGCGCCTGCACACGGGCCCCATTTGAGGGGCCCGACGGTTGCTGAGGGGCCCCCAGACCGCGTATCGCACGCGCCCTCGAGGCCCACAGCGGCCTTTCAGGCCGCAGGTACATGAGAGGCAACGCACTTATTTATTTATTTATTTATTGGTGTGTGTGCGCTGTCCTATTTTTGTCTGTTCAAGCACTGTTTTGGACTAGCAGTTCCCGAGGCACGACCTTGGGACTGGGTACACCAGAGGCAGGGCCTAAAGAGGCCAGGCGCGATTTCGCGCCTTGCTGCATCAGCAGTCTGGACGCCCGGTAGGGGTCCAGACCGGCTGGGCCGTTTTGAGGCCAGCACCAGGCAGGCCCAGCCTCGCCCAGCGCTACATATAGCTGGGCACACGGCCAGTAGCTCAATTCTAGAGCGACACGCTGCTGGACCGGCGCTGCATCTCAGCGCTGCACTAGGGGATAGAGGTAGTGGCGTAGGTAGGAGAGGGAGGAGGCCATACCTGCAGACAGCGGACTTACCTGGCGCCATAGCTTGGACTCCGCGCGCGACGTGCACATGACGACGACAACACAACGGTCAGTGTACGGCGGCATTTCCTGCAGGTGAGACAGTAGGGAAGACTACATCTTCTTCCTTCGTCTCCCCTCCATCTCATCTCTCTCCTCCCTACTTCTTCTTCTTCTTTAGATACGAGAGAGAGAGAGAGAGAGAGAGAGAGAGAGAGAGAGAGAGAGAGAGAGAGGTTACAGGTTCAGGATACAGGCAGCGGTTACGGTGGGCAGAGCGCCCAGGATCTGATCCGACACTTCTGAGGCTGACATTGATTGGACATCGGCAAGGGACTATTTTTGGACTTCGCTATTGCGATCTTGGTCTTCCGCCTCGCCTCCATCTTCGTCTCTCCTCTCCCCCCATCTCTCATCTATGGTATCTCCCCATGTGTGTGTGTGTGCAAAGGAGGGACCTTTCTTCCATGAGTGTGGTCCCTCCTCTCTCACATGTGTGATGAGTGATGGGTGTCGCGTCAGTCCCGGTCACGTCAGGACTTATCTCAAAGTCTTCCACTGCGTTATTTTGTGCCATTTTGTATGTATCACGGTGTACATTGCCTGTTGATGTTTCCCTAACATTGCATTGTCCGCTCAGTCCTCATCACATTGCGGATCCTTGGCTGTACATACATTGCCCAACTGGGCATGTATCACGGACCAGCTATATATAGCTGGTCCGCCTAGGAGGCAGCATTCAGTCTTCAGGCATTCGTAGCGGCACTCTTCAGGAGATGCTGCGGCTACAGTAGTCGACGATAGGAGTAGTCTTCTGGTGCAGGGCGCTGCTAGGATTCAGGGTAGCGCTAGGGAGAGGAGAGTGGCGGAGGCCGGAGGACTCACCTGAGACTTACCTTAGGCACCATAGTTCCAGCTTCATCATCAGCATGTCCGTACCTGCATCAAGAAGCCACCTTTAAGCAGGTCAGTTTCTGGTACAAAGGGAGAGAGAGAAACTCTTCTTCTTCCTCTCGTCCACCATCTCCTCCTCACCCTCCAGCGCTCTGTCTTCTCAGTGCCATCAGACTACGAGAGAGAGAAAGAGAGAGATTTGGGACACTGGGATTTGGCGACATTTGGATTCAGACTTGACATTTGGACCGAGACATTGTGGGGGACTATTAGGAGATCGAGAATGGTGACATCTGGGTTGGCGACATTCTCTCCCCTTCTCCCTCTTCTTCGTCTCCTCTCCCTCCTCTTCATCCATGTATGATTTGAGCCTGGCTCATTCTTCCTGTGTGTGGCGCCAGGCCCTGCACACTTTGTGATGATGATGATGCATTTCCTGTCTGTATTCCGACATTGATTGGTCTGATTATTGGTATTACAGTCTTCTGCTGTGCTATATTGCTCTATCTGAGAGAGGTCGGTTCTTGGTTCTGGTCTGCACCTTTTCGGTATGCGACAGTAAGTTTCCAAACCTATTTTTTTTGTGCCCGAACAGATCGAACTGGTTCCTGCCAGGCCAGGACACAAAAAGCACGGCCTGCTTGTATACGGCGGCAGGTTTTGAAGGAGGGGGCGTGCACTGGTAGTTTGATGTCCAGAGATGAATAGGAACCCATAACTGCTGGTCATGCGGATACTATACTACAGATCTTTTTGGAAAGGTCTGAAACAAAGTATCCAGTTTTACTGCTTCAGCCTGCAGGGAAACAAAGTTCTTCAATCACAAGCATGACAAGTTCTGGTGGATTGCATGTCGTATTTGGCTCTTGCAGTGTGCGACTGATGAAGGTTCTGAGACCACGGCTTCGCTTGCCTGACATCTCGAACCTGTTGCCAAAAGGAGCTGAGACAACTCCAGCACTTTATAAAATAGGATCCCGTCTGGGATACTATGCAGTGTCTAATGCGGCAACATTCTTGAGGGTACGTAATCTATACATGGCAATGCATATTTTTAAGTCTTTGGCCATTTATTGTCTCACGCTCAGCTCATTGTTTCAACTTGGAAGGTTGCATGCTTATATGTTTGCCTCGCTATTGTTGAGTTCTAGATGTGATCCTTACTCCAAATTGCATTCAGATGACATGTTTGAATTGCATCATAACTAAAAGGAAGAAAGAACTCAATGAATTTCTCTCTTCTCTATCACTGCAGTGTGTACAATTACAAAGGAGGAACTTGTCACGAAGAATCTCCCTAGTTTGTGCTTGACAAACTATCCTCTCTCTCTCGTCAGTCCTGCCTCTCTTCTCTCATCGTTCCAGTTGACCAACATAGCAATGAAGTGCAGTGCAGCTCAAACATGAAGAAGATATGGGGTCTGAAGTCGGACTGGGTTCGATGAAGCTCTTGCATCTGTCTATTGGAGTCTGATGCGTAAGGTCTGCTGAAATATGAATGTTCCTCAACTGCTCAACTTCAGTCCCATCGCAGGTAGAATAAGGAAGGGCAGAATTATATCTTGAAGTGGAGAAGAGAAAGGAGCTTCTTGCGCCAAGATTGAAGATATAGCTCTCCCCTTTATAATTTTGCCATGCAATCCCTCGTCAACTTCCTCCATCTTATGCTCCTGTAAAATCCAAATCAACCAAGGATGCATGAACCCTAACTCACTTCGTGGTTGCCAAGTCACATAGAGATCAATACATGAAGGCCATTTCAGAAGACTAGAGAGTAAGGAAGAAGTGGATGTGAGAGCTTTGACCATGAGTAGACAAATTCAACAAGGAGTAACAGAACATAATCATTAGCTCTTCTTAGAAGCTCCACCTCGAATCTCCACCTGGAATCATCACACTCAATGTCCTCGTCTCATTCATAAATAATTAACACCAGATGCAGTTGTAAGGATACAGTGAAATTTTTAACACACAACCAGGACATTTTGGTCCATGACAGTATTGACCCAGCATCAAAGCAATGAGCAGAAGTGACAGAGCACTGATGGCACATGTTCCGAACTTTTGGCAATATTGATGTCCCTCCACCAATCAACAACACTAATAATGAAATGAACAAACAATCCTGGTCACTAATAATGAAATGAACAAACAATCCTGGTCTCTTCGTCAATTGACTGGCTGATGAGATCACCTTGCCCTAGTACTAGTATACATTAGCATATTCCACTCATTTCCCCCTTGTCATCAACGCCGCTCCCACTGATGGCGACTCCAAGAATGTTCATCACTGGAGCTCCCATGCTGAGGACCAAACATGTAAGGCACCCCCCCGACATCTCCGCATGGTTCTTGTGCTCTCAGGTGGGCTCCCCTTCTACTGCCA